GCTGTATCCACTGAGCCAAACCAGCTAGGGCATCGGATATGGTCTTTAACCTTTTGGTGCCTCAATAAGTTCACGTGTGAAACGAGGGTGGGTAAAAAGAATGACACCAACAGCCAGCGCTTATGCTGTGCTTACAGCTGGCTACTGTGCGCGAAACGTTTTACATGAATGAAGGGCACTTCGTTGTCATGACAACCGCAGGAAGTGGGTGCGGTGATATCCAGAACCCTGTCTCGGATCCTGCTATCTATTTCTGCTCCTAGACCAGCGTCTGGCACATTGTAGGCGTTGAAGAAATGTGTCTGTAAGGACAAATACACGCATCTCCATTTCCCAGGTGAGGGAACTGAGGCTCCCGGACATAGGAAGTGCTCAGTCGTTGCCAGTGAATTTCATTCGCACCATTATGAGCATCGTTATTGTCTTCGTTTCTTTGAAGATTAAAAATATTGATTTTTTAGCCCTAGCCGGTTTGGCTCAGTGGATAGAGCCTCGGCCTGCGGACTGAAAGGTCCCGGGTTCGATTCCAGTCTAAGGCACATGCCTGGGTTGCGGGCTCCAACCCCAGTAGGGGGCATGCAGGAGGCAGCCAGTCAATGGTTCTCTTTCATCATTGATGTCTATCTCTCAAGATTCTCTCTCTCTTTTTCCCTTCCTCTCTGAAATCAATAAAAAATATATTTAATAAAAAAAAGAATACTCACCTTAAGAATGCTATCCTGACTTATTTTTTAAAAATATTGATTTTTGGAGAGAGAGAGAGAGAGAGAGAGAGAGAGGAGAGAGAAACATCCATGTGAGAGCAAAACATCCATCAGCTACCTCCCTCCTACACACCCCTTGTCAGGGATCCAGCCCACAAGCTGGGTGTGTGCCCTGCCAGGGAATCAAACCAGCAACCTTGCGGTGCCTGGGAGGAGACACAACCAAATGGATGAGCTCCACGGGCCAGGCAATCCTGGTTATTGTTAGTGTCATTGTCAGTGTCCCCATCGCGCCCAGGTCAGGGCTGGCCTGGGGCAGCCTGGCCGGGGGCGGGGTCAGTGGGAGTAGTAGAAGGACCAAGCTGTAGGCCTGCCTCCCTCTATGCTTCTGTGGGGAAGGAACTCTCTAAGCTCTCACAGATCTTGCTCACCACCCGGCTCCCCCCCTCCCCCGATTCTTAGTTGAGGCCCTCAGAGAACTCCCAGTCCTCTAATCAAAGCCCAGTTCTCACACTGTCTCCTCCAGGAAGCCCTCCCGGATGCACCCATCCTGGGGTGAGGCTCCTCTTCTGGGCTCCCAGCATGGCCTCTATGAAAGGATGTATTTCCCCAGTCGGTGCCTGGGAGACAGCGCGAGAGTGAGGCGTTGACTGGGTGCTTTCTCAGGGCAGGGACCTGGGCTGACTCAGCCTTTGTGATCCTGGCCTTACCCGGGACATTGTGACGTGGCTGTATGAGTGAAAGACCAACTCCCAGCCCTGGCCGGTGTGGCTCAGTGGATAGAGCGTCAGCCTGCAGACTGAAGGTCCTGGGTTCGATTCCGGTCAAGGGCATGTGCCTGGGTTGCGGGCTCCGTCCCCAGCCCCCCCTTCCCCAGGAGGGGATGTGCAGGAGGCAGCAGATCAATGATTCTCTCTCATCATTGAGTTTCTCTCTCTCTCTCTCTCTCTCTCTCTCCCTCTTCCTCTTTGAAATAAATAAAAATATTATTATTATTTTTTAAAGTGACCAGAGCCACACAGACACCCCTCCGTCCTCCCTGGCTGGGGCCCCTCACCAGTAGTTCCGTGATATCTGGATCATCTGGAGTCCAGGGTGGGGTGGGGGAGGTGGGGGCCACGGGCAGCGCCAGCGAGCTGCTGTCTTCCGTGGTAGAGTCTGTCACGGAGGAGTCCGTGGCCTCCACGGCAGCCAGGTTGAGCAGGGACACATTGGTGCAGGCCGAAGACCGTTTGAGGTTCAGACACCAGTGCATTGGTTCGTGGGACATCCGAGGCTCCACCCTGGGGAGGAGAGATGGGCCGAGGGGTCAAGATGTAGCGTCAGCCCAGCCATCGTGGTTCAGTGGTTGAGCGTCAACCCATGAACCGGGAGGTCACGGTTCGATTCCTGGTCAGGACACATGCCCAGGTTGCGGGCTCGATCCCCAGTGTGGGGCGTGCAGGAGGCAGCCGGTCGATGATTCTCTCTCATCGTTGATGTTTCTCTCTCTCCCTCCCTCTCCCTTCCTCTCTGAAATCAATTAAAAAAAAAAAAAAAAAAGATGTCGCCTCAGTGGGTTATGGCCCCTCCTGCCTCCCTGTCTCCATATCCCGTATTCTCTGACTCCAACCTCACCGCCTACTTTCTGCTTCCTCCTCTTCCTACTACCTATTTTCTTTTTAAAATAATGTCTATTTTTATTTTTATTGACTTCAGAGAGGAAGGGAGAGGGACTGAGAGATAAGAAACATCAATGATGAGAAAGAACCACTGATCGACTGCCTCCTGCATGCCCCCTACTGGGGATCGAGCCCAGAACCCGGGCATGTGCCCTTGACCGAAATCAAACCTGGGACCTTTCAGTCCACAGGCCGACGCTCTGTCCACTGAGCCAAACCGGCTAGGGCTACAAAATATGTTTTTTATTGACTAGAGAGAGAAGAAGGTAGGAGAGAGTGATAAAAACATCAATGATGATCCCTGGCCGGTTTGGCTCAGTGGATGGAGCGTAGGCCCACAAACTGAAGGGTCCCAGGTTCAACTCCGGTCAAGGGCAGCATGTACCTTGGTTGTGGGCACATACCCAGTAGGGAGTGTGCAGGAGGCAGCTGCTCAATGTTTCTCTCTCACCGATCTGGAGGTCAGGGCATATGCCTGGGTTGCGGGCTCAATCCCCAGTAGGGGACTTGCAGGAGGCAGCTAATCCATGATTCTCTCTCATCATGGATGTTTCTATCTCTCTCTTCCTTCCTCTCTGAAATCAATAAAAATACAAAAATATTAAAAACAAACAAACAAACATCCATGATGAGAGAGAATCATGGATCGCCTGCCTCCTGCAGGCCCCCTACAAAGGATCAGCCCACAACCAGGCCTGTGCCCTGACTGGGACTCTAACGGTGACCTCCTGGTTCATGGGTCGGCGCTCAACCACTGAGCCACACCGGCCTGGCTTTCTTCTTCCTTTGATGTCCCCCTGACTTCTTCCTCGCCTGCCCCTCCCCTGCCCCCTCCTCTTCACCAGCACCCACACCGAGACTCGTGCTGTGGGGGAGGCAGTGCTGGGCGCCAGGACCACAGCTGACAGGGTGCCGCGAACCCACCCGTGGAACGACACGGCCTTCTTTTTCTTCGAGATCCCCTTGGTTGGGCTGGTCACCCCCCCAGGAGCCTCTGGGATCATCTGGGAGCGGCTCTCCACGCCCGCCGGGGGGTCCCCTGCCTCATGGATCTCCTTGGACTGCCAGATCGTCTTCACCACCACGCTGGCCATGGCGTGTGGGGCCCTGCTCCCAGGGGCTCCTTCCTCTGAGACTGTACCTCTTCTGGCCACTGACCCTCAAAGTTCCTGTCTCCACAAGCCTGCCTCACAAAGGACCCAACCACTGGGCCTCACTGAGGTGGGGGGGGAGTGCTGGCTCAGCATGTACCCCCAGGGGCCTCAGTAAACTCTTCTTGTCCAGATTCTAGTTCCACCCCGATATGTCCCTCCCCTTCAGAACCCAATGGAGTCATTCATTCCCGGCCAGAACTTAGAATGGGGGGACCCACTGCTTCTGGGAGGGGCCAACTTCCCTCTCCCTGAGGGTCACCGTGGGCTCACCCAGCCGCCCCCCCACATTCCTCATTGGATCCCCTGGACTTTCCTGGGACCTGGGAGCCGGTGGTGAATGAGGGTGGAAGTCATCCCAGGAGGATCTCACATTCATTCAGGGACTGGGAGGATGCCCAAAGAGACGAGAAACAGACAAGAACACCAGATGCCGGTAAGTGATAGAAAGAGAATCAAACCCGGGTGATGGTGGCACGGGCATTTGGCAAAGCTCTTTGATGCGTGCACTGGGGATTTGAGTCTTTGATTGTGTGTGAATTTTGCCTGTTCAGGAAATCTAAACAGCCCAGCTGGCGTGGCTCAGTGGTTGAGCAATGACCTATGAACCGGGAGGTCACAGTTCCATTCCGAATCAGGGCACATGCCTGGGTTGCAGGCTCGATCCCCAGTAGGGGGCGTGCAGGAGGCAGCTGATCAATGATTCTCTCTCATCCTTTTTTAAATATATATATATATGTTGTATGTTGTAGTTCTTTTTTTAAAAAAATATATTTTATTGATTTTTTACAGAGAGGAAGAGAGAGATAGAGTTAGAAACATCAATGAGAGAGTAACATCGATCAGCCGCCTCCTGCACACCCGCTACCGGGGATGTGCCCACAACCAAGGTACACGCCCTTGATCGGAATCGAACCTGGGACCCTTCAGTCTGCAGACCGACGCTTTATCCACTGAGCCACACCGGTCAGGGCAATATATATATATTTTTTAAGAAGAAAATCTAAACAACCATGGAACGATAGCGAATGGTAGGTACCGAAGGATTAGGGTTTGTATTAGTCTCCGGAGGTTTCTGAAACAAAGTACCACCAACTGTGGGGATTAAAGGACAGAAATGTACCATCTCCATTCTGAAGGCCAGACGTCCAAGGTCAAGGTGTCAGCGTTGGTTCCTTCTGAGGCTGAGAGAGTCTATGGCGGGGCAGGCCTCTCCCCTCCCCTGGGTTCCAGTGGCCTCCAGTGTCCTTTGGCTTACAGATGGCCATCGTCCCCTGTGTCTTCATATTGTCTGCTCTCTGCCCCCTCTATCTTTGGTTCCAAGTTCCACACCTTTGGAAATATATATATTTTTATTGATTTCAGAGAGGAAGGGAGAGGAGAGAGAGAGATAGAAACATCAATGATGAGAGAGGATCATCCATCGGCTGCCTCCTGCACGCCCCCGACTGGGAATCAAGCCCGAAACCTGGGCATGTGCCATTGACTGGAATCGAATCCTGGACCCCTCAGTCCGCAGGCCAACGCTCTATCCACTGAGCCAAACCGGCCAGGGTGAAAATATATATATTTTTTATTGATTTCAGAGAGGAAGGGAGAGGGAGAGGAAAATAGAAACGTGAATGATGAAAGAGAATCATCCATCGGCTGCCTCCTGCACGCCCCCTACTGGGGGATGGAGGCCGCAACAAGGGGATGTGCCCTGACCTGGATTTGAACCGTGACCTCCTGGTTCATGGGTCCACACTCAAGCACTGAGCCTTGCTGGCCAGGCAGTTGCCCCTCTATTTTAAGACATAGTCATGTCAAAACAAAACAAACAGAAAAAAAGACAGTCATGCCTTGGAGAGTGTTGCTGTGTTGGTTGAGCTCCATCCCATGCACAGAGAGGCAGCAGGAAGGGGGTGCAAAATGGGTTACCCCAGTCCTTGCTTTTCATCACTGACTATTTCTTGTCAATCCCTTGTGGCCTGCAAAATTTCTGTTGAGAAATCAGCGACAGTCTTATGGGAGCGCCCTTGTAGGAGACTAACTGCTTTTCTTTATTTTTAAGATAAATGTCTTTTTATTTATTTTTATTTTTATTTTTTATATATTTTATTGATTTTTCACAGAGAGGAAGGGAGAGAGATAGAGAGTTAGAAACATCGAT